AATTAATGTGGACCGCCTAGTAGAAATGTGGATCCATGATCATTTTTTTGCCTTTTTTAATCAACTTGAGGGTAATTGCCTTGTTACATGTTTTTTCTTATCAGTCTCCTCTTGCCTTCTGTCTACTCTGAAGCTCTTCCTGGAGGTACTGTTCTTCTGCCTCCTTAAAAAATCCCCCAGGAAAGTCTGCCCTTGGCAAGGAAGTTTGGCAACTCTTACTCGTGGTTCTTCGCTCCACTGCATCTAGTTCCTTTCTGTGCTGTCCTGTTCAGAGTTGCCATTTCCGAGGTACCCCTACACTTAACTTCTGTGCATCACGTCGTAGATTAGATTGAGACATCTAAACCAATGTTTACAAATTTGAGGTTGCAGCAGCTGAATCAGGAAAGCTTTAAAGAAAACAGATGCCCTGAACCCACCCCTATAGTAATCTTTAGGGACCTATATATGTATGAATAGATTTCTAAAAATTTATTAACGTATGTTTCTACATCTTATCTACAAAAATATATTGACATATTGTTAATACTTTCCATTTATTTCCTAATAATTGTTTTTTATTTTTTTTCTTATTAGCTCTTTTTTGCTGCATCTGACAACAGAAAGCACTCCTTCCTTTAAACTCTTCTCCTGTCTCCTGTGATACAACATTACTGTTTCCTTCTTCCTTTTCCTGTATTTTCTTATGAAAAATTTAAACCTACAGAAATGTTGACAGGATTGTACAGTGAAAACCCATCTACCTACCACCTAAATTCTACAAATTAACATACATATCTCCACTTATCATTCTGTCTTATTTTTTGATGCATTTCAAAGAAAGTTGCTGGGGCTGGCCTGGTGGTGCAGCGGTGAAGTGCATGCGCTCTGTTTCGGTGGCCCGGGATTCGCAGGTTTGGATTCCGGGCACGTGCTGACACACCGCTTGTCAAGCAATGCTGTGGTGGCGTTCCACATAAAGTAGAGGAAGATGGGCACGGATGTTAGCCCAGGGCCAGTCTTCCTCAGCAAAAAAAAAAAAAAAAAAAGGAGGATTGGCATCAGATGTTAGCTCAGGGTTAGTCTTCCTCACAGAAAAAAAAAAAAGAGTTGCAGGCATCAGTACATTTTACCCTTAAACTCTTTCAACTTACACGTCATTAGCTAGAGTTTAGTATTTGTTTAGTTTTTTGTGGGGAGGGGCTGTGAGGAGCACCTTAAGTGTCTTCAGCTGATGATTTTTGCCATGCATATGCTCATGTAATCCCTATCAGGATACAGAACAGTTCCATTACTCCAGAAAGTTTCCTCAAGCCCTTTTACATCAATCCTGGCCACCCCTCAACCACTGGCTACCACTATTGTGGAATTTTCCACTCTCAATTAGATTTGCCTGTCCTCCAGCTTTGTGTAAGTGAAACAGTGTGCACTCCTGTGGAGGATTCTTCTATGTTGTCGCATGTGTGGTTGGTCCTTTTTGTTGTGAGTAGGGCTCCATTACATGAGTAGAGTAGTTTGTTGATGCCTTCTCCTGATGGTGGACACCTGGGCCGTTCAGTTTTTGGTTATTATGAATAAGGCTCTTATGAATATTCTTAGAAAAGTATTTTTGTGGACATCTGTTTTGATTTCTCTTGGAAAAATACCTGGATGTGGAATTATAAGGTTGTCTGTTTAGTTTTATGGAAAATGGCTCGACCGTTATCCAGAGTAGCCATGTGATTCTGCACTCCTGTCAGCAGTGTGAGGGTTTCAGTCGCTCCACATCATTACCAACACTTGGTGGTGGTGGCTTTTTAAAAAATTTTGAAGTAAAACTTAGACTAGCAGTAAGAATGTTGTTCCTTATGTGACCAGATGGTGTGATGGTGAGCTGCGGCGTTTTGTAGACCCCTTTTTCAGGTTGAGGAAGGTCTTTATTTCTACTTTGCTGAGAGCAGATGTTATGACTGGATGTTGAATTTTGTCAAATGATTTTCTGCATCTATTAAGATAATTGTCTTTCTTTTTTTAGCTATATTAGACTAAAAAAAATTGTTTGATTTTCTTTCTTTTTTTTTTAATAAACTTTTATTTTTATTTTGTTTGGTGAGGAAGATCAGCCCTGAGCTAACATCTGATGCCAATCCTCCTGTTTTTGCTGAGGAAGATCGGCCCTGGGCTAACATCTGTGCCCATCTTTGCTCCTTTTTATATGGGACACCACCACAGCGTGGCGTGACAAGTGGTAACGTCGATGTGCGCCCGGGAACCGAACCGGTGAACCCCTGGCTGCTGGAGCAGAGCACACACACTTAACCGCTGTGCCACCAGGCTGGCCCCTTAATAAACTTTTAAACCAGCCTCTATCCCTTGGTCCTTTTTATATGTCAGATCGATTTGCAAACTTTTTGTTAAGGATTTTTGCATCTGTCTTCATGAGGGATACGGTCTGTAGTTTTCATTTTTTGTGGGAACTATGTCTAGTTTTAGTGTCAGGGTCATGCAGGCCTCATGGGATGAATTGGGAATTGTTTCTTCCCCTTTTTTTCTGGAAGAGTTTGTGTAGAATTGATAATATTTCTTCCGTAAATGTTTAGTAGACTTCCCAATGAAGCCGTCCAGAGTGGGAGTTTTTTTTGTGGGAAAGTTTTTAGCCATAAATTCAGTTTATTTACTAAATATCAGGCTATCAGGTTATCTAATTTTTCTTGAGAGCGCTTTGGTAGTTTGTCTTCTTATAAGGAATTTGTCCATTTCAACTTAAGTTGTCAAATTTATTGGCATAAAGTTGTTCGTATTATTTCCTTATCTGCAGGAGCCGTAGTAATACCCCGTCTCTCATTTTGATATTGATATTTTGTGTCTTCTCTTTTTTTCCTGTACGGTCTGAATGGAGGTTTATCAATTTTATTGAACTTTTCAAAGAAACAGGTTTTGGTTGCATTGATTTTTCTCTGTTGTCTGTTTTCTATTTTATTTTTGCTCTTTATGTTTTCCTTTTTTCTGTTTAGACTTCATTTATTTAGTTTTTGTATTTGGTTTCTTAAGGTGGCGGTTTAGATCATTGATTTTTAAATTATTTTTTAGTTTTTTGTTTTCTAAATATTTAATGCCATAAATTTCCCTTTAAGCTTTGCTCTAGCTGCATCCTATAAATTTGATTTATTGTGATTCCATTTCATTCAGTTTAAAATATTTTCTAATTTCCCTTGTGATTTCTTCTTTAATTATGTAGTATTTAGAAGTGTGTTGTTTAATATTTAAAAATTTGGGGATTTTCTAGATATCTTTTTAATTTTGCTTTGGTTGGAGACTACTTTATAGCTATTTTAGTCCTTTTAAATTTATTGAGACTTATTTTACAGCTCAGCTTAAGATCTGTTTTGGTAAATGTTTCTTGTGTATTTGAAAAGAATGTGTGTTTTGCTGTTGGTGGAGAGTTCTGTAAATGTCAGTTAGGTCAAGTTGGTTGAGGTGTTCAGTCCATATAACTGGATCTTGTTTTTTTACCCAATCTGACAGTCTGTGCCTCTTAATTTGAGTATTTAGACCAGGGGCAGGCAAACTATGGCTCATGGGCCAAGCCTGGCTGTTTTGTAAATAGACTTTATTGAAACCCTGCCCTGCTCGCCAGTGCTTACATACTGTCTGTGGCTGCTTTTGGGCACTAGGGTGGACTGAGTAGTTATGCTAGAGACGGCACAGCTGGCAAAGCCTAAATGTTTATTATTTGGCCCTTGGCAGAAAAAGTTTACCAACCTCTGTTATTTAATGTGATTATTGATATGGTTGGGTTTAAATCTCCCATCTCACTGTTTGTTTTTACTTGTCTCATCTGTTCTTGGTTTCTTTTTTAGTTTTTTTCTTCTTTCTTTTGGATTGAATATTTTTGATTCCCTTTTATCTCCATTATTGGCTTATTAGCTGTATGTTTTTGTCTACCTTTCTAATATAGTACTGCTTCACATATAGTATAAGAACCTTACAGCAGTGTGCTTTTATTTCCCTTTCCAGCCTTTGTGCTGTTGTTCTCATACATTTGCTTCTGTATGTGTTATAAATCTCACAATATTTTGTTATTTCCAATTTAAATCCTTGTAATAATTTGCACTTTTCTCTAGTTCTGAATTGACTTGGTAAGTAGTGTATTAGCACAGGTATATTTGAAGGCAGTTGTTATATTAGCTATCATTCTCTGGCTTAACTAATTTTTTTATATTAAAATAACCTTTAATTGTTAAAATAGTATAAACTGTGAAAGAAAATACAGGTAATCACTTCTTTAGAAAATAAAATTTAAAATGCCACATTTCTGCGTTCAGAGGTTAACATCTTATTGTTTAACTTTGTGTGTGTGTAAATACAAATATTTGTGTGTAGTCTTTACCACAGTGAGTTCATATTGATTATGCTTTTTTATTACTTGCTTTTTTCAGTTACCTTCTTCTTTCTGTGATATTAAATGCTTGTCTTATCTAGTAATACCCAGTCCACATTCAGATTTCTCCCGTTTTCCCCCAAGTATTTTGTGTATTTGGTTTGTTTGGACCAGGATTCAGTCTGGACCCCATTGCATCTGGTAGTTAGGTCTCAGTGTCTCCATCCTGTGTCTTCTCATCCCTCCCTGTGTGTTAGTCACACTCGTGTCTAAATTGTGCTCCCTGTGGCTGACTCTGGCGTCCTTGGCTATGCACACACTTGGAGCTCCCACTTCATACTCCCACCACCCTGAAATCCTCCAGAGTGCTCACCACAGAGGGAAAACCATGTTTGCTCATGCATTGTCTCTTTTAGAAATTATTTGTGGGAAATCTCATCAATTTATTTCTTATAAAACTATAATTTTAACTGGGATCACTTCAACCTTTTCCTCAGTCCTCATACTTAATGGGTACTATGTCACAGTTTGCTCATGGGCTGCATTTCATTTCCCATTTCCCATGTATGTAGATTTCTTAGGTGCCCCATGAGGTTCTAATTCAGTATTTATCTTCTGAAATTGCATAATGATCTCTCTTTTTTTTCTCCCTTTTTAAAAGGACCTTAAAGGCTTTGATCCAGGAGAGAAGTACTTTTTTAACACATCATGGGGAGATATTTCTCTCTGGGAACCTTCTGGAAAGAAAGTGGTATGTATTTGTTTTTGATTTTCATGTTTCCTCAAAAGTTGGGGCTAAGTGTCAGTTTAGTTCTGAGGAACATCACATGTTTTGGGGTTGCTCATGAAGAGTGGGGAGGAGGTGTAGTGTAAACATTCAAGGGAGTAGAAAACGTTAAATGTTTTGTAATATAGGATTATTGAAGCTTTGAGAGTTTTCTGCATATAAAGTTGATAAAGTGATATAGTGAAACTATTATTTGTCCTTGATTATAAGATCCCACTGATGTAAGAAGGGCCTTTGAGTTTTAACTATTCTGAGTAAAAAGAAATGACATGACATTAAGTACAGTCACGCACCGCATAACGTTTTTTTCACTGACAGACCACGTATACGATGGTGGTCCCGTAACATTATAATAGAACTGAAGAATTCCTGTCACCTAGTGATGTTGTAACGTTGTAGTGCAATGCATTACTCACTTTTGTGGTGATGCTGGAGTAAACAAACCTGCACTGTCAATCGTGTACAAGTATGGCACGTACAATTAATGTACAGTACCATAATACTGATAGTAATAAACGACTGTGTTACTGCTTTATGTATTTACTGTACTGTACTTTTAACATTATGTTAGAATGTACTATTACTTACAAAAAAGTTCACTGTAAAACAGTGTGCCATGTTACAGCAGCAGCCTCGTATACCTCGTGTTTACCTCGACTCTTGATTGCATCATTTCTCTTGTGCTTGATTTAATCTTATGTTGTTTTGTTCATCATGGCCCCTAAGCGTACAAAAGCCACTGCTAATGTTGCCAGTAAGAGGCCACGTCGAGTGATTGACCTGGAAACAAAATTAAAAGTGATTAAGGACTACAAAGGTGGAAAATCAGTGATGGGTATTGCTCGCCAGTCAGGCATGTCCCATTCCACCATAGCTACAATCTTGAAGAACAAGAACAAAGTGATGGAAGCTGTTAAAAGATCTGCCTTATTGAAGGCAATGAAACTAACAAAAATTCGAGAAGGGCCTATATCAGACATGGAGAAACTTCTAATGACCTGGATTGAAGACCAGACACAGAAGCATATCCCTCTCAGCACCATGATGATCACAGCTAAAGCAAAAAGTTTGTTTGCAATGTTGAAAGAAAAGGCTGGACCCAACTGCAATGTTGAATTTAATGCTAGCTCTGGGTGGTTTAAACGATTCAAGAATCGTTATTCATTACATAATGTGAAAGTGAATGGTGAATCTGCAAATGCTGATGTGATGGCAGCTGGAGAATTTTTAGAAACTCTAGATAAGCTGATTGTGGAGGAAAATTACTTGCCAGAGCAAATATTCAATATGGGTGAAACCTCCCTATTCTGGAAATGGATGCCTGAAGGGACTTTCATTTATAAGGAGGCCAAGTCAGTGCCAGGTTTCAAGGCTTTTAAGGACAGGATAACAGTCTTGCTTGGGGGCAATGTTGCAGGCTACAAATTGAAACCGTTTGTGATCTGGCACAGTGAGAACCCCTGGACTTTCAAACATATTAGTAAGGACACACTGCCAGTGTACTACAGGAGCAGTAAGAATTCATGGATGACCCAGCTCCTCTTCCAAGATGCCCTCCTGAATTGCTATGCCAGCGAAATGGAGAAGTACTGTTTGGAGAATAACATACCTTTCAAGATTTTGCTTATTGTTGATAATGCTCCCAGACATCCTCCTTTTGTTGGTGATCTTCATCCCAATATCAAAGCAGTCTTTTTCCCTCCAAACACCACCTCTTTGATCCAACCCATGCATCAAGGAGTTATAGCAGCTTTTAAGGCTTACTACCTGAGGAGGACCTTTGCCCAGGCTATTGCTGCAACTGAGGAAGAGACTGAGAAGACACTGGTGCAATTCTGGAAGGATTACAACATCTATGACTGCATCAGGAACCTTTCTTGGGCTTGGGGTGATGTCACCAAGGAGTGTATGAATGCCATCTGGAATAAGACACTCAAGAGGTTTGTCAATAACTTCAAAGGATTTGCCAAGGACGAGGAAGTTGCGAAAATCAACAAGGCTGTTGTCAAGATGGCAAACAACTTTAACCTGGGTGTGGATGAACATGACATTGAGGAACTCCTAGAGGTGGTTCCTGAGGAACTGACTAATGAGGAATTGTTGGAACTGGAACAGGAATGCATAGCTGAAGAAGAGGCAAGAGAAAAGGAAACTGCAGGGGAAGAAAAAGAAGAACCCCCAAGAAAATTCACAGTGAAGGGTTTAGCAGAAGCTTTTGCAGACCTCAACAAGCTCCTTAAAAAATTTGAAAACATGGACCCCAACCCCGAAAGATTTTCGTTAATAGAGAGGAATGTTCATGGTGCATTATCTGCTTACAAGCAAATCTATGATGAAAAAAAGAAACAAACCAAGCAAACTACCATGGACATTTTTCTGAAAAGAGTGACACCTCCTCAATAAGAGCATCAAGCAGGTCCTTCAGGAGGTGTTCCAGAGGAAGGCGTTGTTATCATAGGAGATGACGGCTCCATGCGTGTTAGTGCCCCTGAAGACCTTCAGTGGGACAAGATGTGGAGGTGGAAGACGGTGATATTGATGATCCTGACCCTGTGTAGGCCTAGGCTGATGTGTGTGTTTGTGTGTTAGTTTTTAACAAAAAAGTTTAAAAAGTAAAAAAAAATTTTTAAAATAGAAAAAAAGCTTATAGAATAAGGATATAAAGAAAAAAAATTTTTGTACAGTTGTACAATGTGTTTGTGTTTTAAGCTAAGTGTTATTGCAAAAGAGCCCAAAAGTTAAAAAAAATTAAAAAGTTTATAAAGTAAAAAAGTTAAGCTAAGGTCAATTTATTATTAAAAAAATATTTTTTATAAGTTTAGTGTAGCCTAAGTCTATACAGTAGTGTGCAGTAGTGTCCTAGGCCTTCACACTCACTCATCACTCACCACTCAACTCACTCAGAGCAACTTCTAGTCCTGCAGGCTCCATTCATGGTAAGTGCCTGCAAAGGCTTCCTGGACCCAATTCTGGCGTGTGTGTGGAGGCTTCCCCACACCAACAAGCAGTTCTCGAACACCAGCTGGGTGTCCGAGAATTCAGCTCGATTCTGACGCTATCTCCCTCCATCTCTGATAGAGTCAGATCCCTCAGGTAAAGGGCTCCCCCAAGATTGCCCTCCACTTCAGACGCCAGTCATAAGCTCAGGTTGTCTGTGCGTCTGACCGACCGGTTACAAACCGGAGATTCCAACAGCCCCCTCCAACTCAGGATGCCAATCCCAAGTACAGGTTGTTACCTGTACTTCTCACCGACTCGCTATAAATCAGAGGTTCCCACGACCCCCTCCTCAGGTTCGATTAATTTGCTAGAACAGCTCACAGACCTCAAGAAAACCCGTTTACTCACTAGATTACCAGTTTATTACAAAGGATATGAAAGGATACTAAACAACAGCCAGATGAAGAGATATATAGGGCGAGATCCCAAACAAAGGAGCTTCTGTCCTCGTGGAGCTTGGGGCCGAGCTTGGCAGCACATGGAAGCGTTCTGGTTGCCCAACAGGGAAGATCTCTGAAAGGGGCCGATGAGCTGTCCTTTCAGGTGTTTATGGAGGCTTCATTACCTAGTCAGGATTGACTGAGTCACTGGCCCTTGATTTAACCTCAAGCCCCCTTCCTTTCCCTGGAGGTCAGGGGGAGGGACTGAAAGTTCCAGCCCTCTGATCACAGGGCTGGTTCTGCTGGCAGCCAGCCTCCACTCTTGGGGGGTTCAGGAACTGAGGACAAGAGCTCATATTGCTCTTCCTGCTCAGGAAATTCTAAGGGTGTTGCGAGTTGTGAGAGGGGAACTGGGGATGAAGGCAAAATATATATTTCTTATAAATCACAATAACACAGTCCACCTCCTGGTTTTCGAATCCCTTACAGCAAGGCAATCATAAAAGTCAAGTGATCCTGGCACATTAGTAGAATCTCACTGAATTCTTAATAACTGTTCTGTCCATCATGATATCATATGCAAGTGTCTCCCAGGGTGAGAACTCTCAGGTTTGCAGGCTTCCTTGGATCTTGTCAGGTTCCGAAAGCAGGAGTGGTCTAGGCAAACACAGCTTCACCCTTCCGGGCATGTGGTATGCTTATCATGAGAGACAGTATTATTCCCTTGCTCAGAGCCTCTCTTGAGGTATTAATGAAATGTTGGATTTCCCTCATTGCATAACCCACTTATTCATCCCTTTACCCTCACCTGTTATTTCTCCACCCTTGGAAGGGCCATTAGGTTCGGCCACTGTGCTGGTCTAGATTGCTGGCAGCAGCACCAATTCAGCAAGTGCCTCCCTCTCAGTCTACTTTGATTCACATAGGGTAAGATTACACGGGTACAGAGCTAGTGGGCTGTCCTGACCACTAGGCCACACAGCAGCATTCACTGTCAGCCCCACCTTTGCCAGATGAGGTGAAGGCACAGTCTACCCCCTCAAGCCCTTAGAAATTCTGACATAAAGATTTAAAGGTATAGTTACAGTGTCTGGCTTAGGAATCATTCCTAATCCTGGGACCACTGCATTAGGTAGGAAAAGAGAAAGTTTTGGTGATGTGGGGAAGAATTGTATAACCACAACCCTAACCCTAACCCCTACCTCTCTTTCCCAGATCTCTCGGAACAGTGGAGGAATCTATCCAGTGGGCACCATCCCTTATCCCCCTTCATGTTCATGTTGAGTGTGAGCACACCTTCGTGAAGGTGTGCAAGCCAGCCTTTATCCCCCATTTTAGATAGCAACTGTTTTAATTGCGCCCATTTCAATCCTTTATAAAACTGTTAGTCTGACGAGGACATCTCTCTGCCCATTGTTGGGCATTATGGGCTGTAATGTGAGTTCTTTGGTCTGAGGAAATGACAGTTGGCTGTGCAGTATCTTCTGTTTTGGTTCTTTTATGTCACTCTGAGCATGTGCATCTACCACCAGGCAAGCAAAGCCTAGTATAGAGTCAGTGTCTGTTCCTGTCAGGACCCGTTTA